GGGCCGGGGGGCGGGCGTCGCTGCCGCCCGAGGGAACTACCAGCCTACAGCCGGCCCGGGAGCACAGGGAGAGAGGGAGAGAGGCCGTCCCGACGCCGTGACGTCACGGGACTCTGACCATCACGTGACGCACGCACGGGTGTGCACCAGCAAGGTGTGCATCGCCGTGCCCGAATGACGAACAGGACACCAATGAGGAATCAATAGCACCAGTCGGGTTTTCCTATCCCCCGTGTATACATGTGCACTCTAGGGGAAGAATGTCAACAACAGAGCTCGTCCGCTCCGCACCAGCCGCTTCAACTTCGCAGTTGGGGCTTCGGGTTTTGGAGTTGATCAGGCGGGGAAGGCCCAAGAATACGGGCATGGGCAAGCGGGTGGCTCCCTGCGGGTTTCCGTTACCGTTAACCTTGGCACTGGCTCGGGCCGTGGATTGGACATCACCATCACACAGATACTGGTTCGCGGATCCTGCCCCACGGCTCGGCTCGCCCCGCCGCCCCCGCCCCCACCCCGTCTTGGTGCGTTGCCCAAATTTCCCTTCTCGTTGTCGGGATTTCCCAAAGCGATTCATCAGCTGGGGCGCCAAGCTCTCCCCTTCGTTTCGCCCTGGCTCTGTCCGTGCACTGTCGTGTTCGTGCCACTCTCTTCTCTCTCCCCCACCCACCCCCAGCCGCCCCAGCCAAGTACCGTGTGTAGGGCTACGACACAACAGTGGTCCGGGTTTGCATACCCTAGGGGCCATGGCGCCTCATGGGTAGAGCGAGGCGAGTGGGCAAGGTGGACAACCTAGCATACCGTTGTGTCGTGGCGTACATGGTACAGGGAGGGCATCCCTCAACCCATCGACGTCCAATCGACGTAAACCCAACACCGAATTTGAATTTCTGTCTAAGGTTGTTGTTGAGGGGAAGAGCGCTCTTTTGAAACCCAAACGACTAACGTGAATGTATTTTAGGCCTCATCGTTATCACGACAGCCCGGCTACTCAGCAGAGCGTGACTGTGACTTGGCGTGATTTGTGTGTTGGAATAAGTGAGAACTTGGACACTTGCAAGTAAGTGTGCGCTCACGCTTTGGGCTTGCGGCCGTGGCGCCCACGCCGGCGGCGCCTTTAGGTCAAGCTCGTGCATCTCATTTGCGTTTCTTCGTGGTTTTCGTTTTGGTGTCTTTTTCCTTATCGGTGATTCCGAGAAACGGGTCTGACGTCCCGTGCGACCAGACGGCCGTAACTCCATGGGACGCTCGGTTGGCCTCATGTCAGCCCATGAGCTCGCAGCCTCGGACTTTATCGGCCAGCGCAGCCGAGCGCAGCCGAGCGCAGTGACCGGCAGCGACCCAGTGGATTTGGATTATCCACCGACCCTAATGGCTAGCAAACTTTAGTGTGCAGTCCCAGCGCTACAGTTCGAAAAAAAAAGCTGAATTGCGCACGTTGTTGTTTTCGAAAAATTAGGTCGCGTGAGGAAAAATTCGCAATCTTACCGATATACAGAAGAAGTATTATTCTAAAGCATATTAAACTTTCATGTTTTTTTTTAAAATCTTCATTTGTCCCAGTCTTCCTCCTAGACTGAAGTAACGAACAGCAACGAATCGTGTCAAGTTCGGCCCCGCGCAGGTAGGCCGCCTCCCCACCTCCGGTGTGCGGTGGGCGGCGGTGGGTTGCTGTGTGGTACCCCACGCCTGGTTGACTCGAGGGAGGCAGCCCACCTGTTGAAGGCGTCCGCTGGACTGCCGACTCACCAGGCGCACTCGCCGCCGCGCCGAGCGTCGCGTGAGAGTCGTCTCCGCCATCGAGTTAAACAGTACACACAGAAGGCTATTTTTACGCATTTTATTATTGGGTTGACAGTTGAGTACAAAGCAAGATCGTGTCGATGAATAAAAATGGTAGGCGTCGAAGAGAGGGACGATGAATGTCGAAAAGGCGCAGACCATTATACGAAAAACGTTTCTGAAACTTGGGGTGAATCGGGGTGATTCGGCAACATTTCTCACGTCAAGTAACGTGCCCGGTCTGCTCTGCACCCCTCGCCCGGGAACCACAGGACGGGGGGAGCACGCTTAATCGCTTAGTATACACCAGCCCACTAGCGACTAAATCAGAGCACTAATCGTCTTTAGTAGAGGTGCTACACTGGACGCATGAATTGAAATGACGTTGCGAGGTGCGTTCAAGTCACCTAGCCGAGCTGGCTGTTGATCCATCCCATGGCGTTGGCGACGCTGGCGTACACGGCGGGGTTGGCGTTCTCCCCGCAGCCGATGCCCCACGCGACGACGCCCACCTGGGCGTAGCGGCCGGGGTCCCCGGGCATGGGGCAGACCAGTGGGCCGCCGCCGTCGCCCTGCGGACACACCGGTTACAACAAAGCAAGACGCTGGCGTCGATGGCCACCTGCAACATGCGCAGCTGCACCTACCTGACAAGTGTCGCGGCCCTCCTCACCGCCGGCGCACACGAAGCTGTTGTGGAGTCTGAAGAATGGCCCGAGCCGAGTCTGCCGCAGTCTGGACTCGCACTCGTTGTTGGGCACCATGGGCAGGTCCACCTTTCGCAGGATCTTCTGGTAGGCGCCGGTCGAGCCTGGAGAGATGGTCATTGTGTTAGGGCGAGGAAGATTTGGTAGGGGTGCTGGTAGGTAAGCGAGGTGGGGGCAATGGGGTGCAAAAGAGAGTGTCAGGGGGCAGGCGGTGGCGAGTACACTCACCGAACGAGTCGCGCCCCCAGCCAGTGGCGTAGCAGCGGTTGCCGTAGAACGTCTGGCCCTGGTCGGGCAGGCAGACGGTGTCCACGTTGTCGGCCAGCTCGAAGGGCGTGTCCAGGAAGATGAGGGCCACGTCGTTGTAGAGCGGGCCGGCTCGGTAGTTGGGGTGCAGCACGACGCGCGTCACGCCGCGGTCCTGGTGAGGCAGCGGCTCGGACCGGTTCTGCGTGTCCCACTCGCCGGCGCGCACCTTGAGGGCCGACGGCTCCTGCCTGCACCACAAGGGGTAGGAAGGGCTCAGCCTGCGCTTGCTGCTACGCTCGGCGCGCTGCGCCAGCTCGACTCAGATGCTCACCCGATGATGCAGTGCGCGGCGGTGAGCGCCACGGAGGGGGTGATGAGGGACGCGCCGCACTTGAAGCGGTTCAGCGGCCGCCCGTCCGCGATGCGCTCCTCCAAGAGCACCGCCAGCATCCAGGGGAACTCGGCGAAGAACGTGGCCGTGTCGTCCGCTGTGGGATGTGCGGGGTAGAACGTCAGGACTGCGTCAGGACTAAGTCTCAGGACTCTGGTGCACACTCACGAGCGCCCTCTGGGGTGAGGATCCTCAGCGACGTGGCCTGCAGGCGCTTGACGCCGCACCCGGCCTGGGGCACCAACACGTTGCTCTGGTGACGCTCGTCCGGCACGGGCTGCGGCTGCGGCTGTGGCTGCGGCTGGGGCTGCGGTTGTGGCTGCGGCTCGGGGTAGTCTGGCGAGGGTTGCGGCTGCGGGTCGGGGTAATCCGGCTGCGGGCTCGGGCTTGGGCTGGGCGTGGTGTCACCAGAGGGCACTCTGCAGCACACGTCGATCTCACCCGGACAGCGGGGCACCGAGCTCCTACAAACAAAAGAGTTTTGTTTCACTAACAGTTTAAAAATTATACCATCTTATCGATTATCTAGCTAGCTCATCCGCAGTCAAGTCAAACATTC